CATACCCCCTATCAAGGATTGTGGGCCTCTGCCTTGTTCCTGATGGTACATTCGATGGCTTCTTTAAAAGCACGTAGGAACTTGAGTGAACCAAGTACCTAAGATCGTGTCTCCCCCCCCCCCAAAAAAAAAATTAATTAATATTAATTATATTAATTCTTCCCCAGAGTCAATTTTTGTTAAATCCTGAAGTACATGTGTTTGAATAAAGTACATGAATAAATTGGTAGAAATTCCCTCACCTTATCTTAATAGAACAGATATAATAAGACATGGAACATATTCATTGGCTTAGAAGTAAACAGCATTTCTTAACTGAGGCATATGTGTGTGTAAATTTACTTACCTTATAACAAGTCCATCTTGGTAATTTGGGGTATATTCTTACATTTTCTGGATTCGGAAAATTTATTCAGCGTAATAATTAAAGCTGTGGACTGATAGGGTGAATGACAAAGGCGGGTGGATGATACATATAACTGCCAGAGAGCAACGTTGGAGCCTTCTCTATTTCATAGTTTTCCTGCTTATAGCTGCCTAGCTTATGTTAACCTCTGGTGCCCCACTATTGCAAAGACCCAAAGCTTCTTAATGAAACATAAGTGATGTTGCAAACTTAATTGTGAACTCTTCAAAACCCATATGAGATGGGGGGGGGGGGATGGACATAGCAAATTCACTGCTTATATTCATCCAAATAATTCTACATTACAGAATGTGTATACTGCCTTTGGAGTTTCTTACTTCCTAAATAGTAAACCCTTTGTTTAAGCAAACCCACAGCCAAGCAAACTCTCAAATTTTCAAAGGTCAGAAAAAAGTGTAAGCCCAGTATGGTTCCTGTCTAACTGCAGGGTAAAGTGGAGGCTGACTTTGGCTAGTATTGTTGACTACTGCAGGATGGATGAAACTAAGACTGAAGAATTACATTTTTGTTGAAACCCATGCCAGTCAGTAAAATTGGGGTATTAGGTGTGTGTACCCCTATCAATACATATCAAAATATTGAGACAAGAGGAATGTGAACTGACAGGGTGAATGACAAAGGCAGGCGCATATGATACAAATTTCTGCCAGCTAGCAACCCCTTTGTCTATGACAGGTTCCATACTTAGATTGATCCATTTGGATTGACCTAACTCCCTGGGGGTTCACGGTAAATTGCTATCAGCTCAAGAGGCTTAAATGTCTGTTACACCTACCGAATTAGCTAGGGGTAAAAACCCCTAACAGTTTTACTAGGCGTGACAGACGTTGAAGCCTGTCATTTTGATAGCAATTTAGTGAGACTCCCTAGGGAGATAGATCGATCCAAATATCTGTGGGAATGGTCCCTATTTCAGTTTTTACTTCTTGCTTTCAATAAATTCATGAATAGAAGTTTACAATATGAGGACCCCAAAATTGAATCTCTTATTAATGAATTCTTTGATGGTTTTGAAAACAGTACTTTCAATGAACTTGACCACCGACTTACTGTAAATGAAATGAAAAAGGCATCTACCCAACTTAACAATAATAAATCCTCTGGCCCCAATGGCATACCTAATGAAATGATCAAAGAGGGTGTTCACACACTGGCTGCCCACCTGCAGGAGTTTTAAAAACCACAATTTTGAATTTACAGCCTCAACCTGGTCAAGTGACATCAAAAATACACTGGCGCTCATTGGACGCCCTGCCATCTGGGAGGACCCTCTTAAAACATCTAAGATCGCATTCACAACGAGTTGAGCCAGGCTTTACAAATCCTGGAACTAAATATGGCCGACGTACATGAAAGAAAAACTGCCTAATCTTTTAATAGTCTCCCTGCCTCTCACAAGCCTCCCCACACGTTGTCCCGACGGGGTACAGTCATTAAATCTCGGCTCCGTTCACCATGTGGAAGCTACCTGAGAAAAAGAAATGAATTGGCCCGTAGAGCAGCTTTGAATCGGGATCAAAATCATGAAAACACCCCCCCCCCCTTTCCAGTTCGATCAGGCGTAGGGAACAATGCAAACATCAGCATCAGAACGAACTGCGCCCTCTGACGAAACTGCATACCCAAAAATTCTGCCCTCCTCCTCCTCCATCTACTGGGGCTGGGTATCTCTGTGAGTATCTCCGTGAATATCTCTGGCGACATTATCTCCGTAGATAGACGATTCATATCTGCTCTACGGGCCAATTCATTTTTTTTAATTCTCTGTTTTGAAACATAATAGAACAGAAGAGCTTTTTTTCTTTTGATCTCCTCCAGCTGCCATGATTTCTTCACCTCGAGTTTAATTGATGAGCATGCACACTTAATATTTCTCAGGTAGCTTCTGCATGGTGAACGGAGCCGAAATTTAATGACTGTCCCCGGCAGGGATGACGTGTGAGAGGCGGAGAGACTATTAAAAGATTAGGCGTTTTTTCTTTCATGTATGTCTGCCATATTTAGTTCCAGGATTTGTAAAGCCTGGCTCAACTCATTGTGAATGCAATCTAAGACCCCATTTCCATAGATTTTAGATCGATCTATCCAAGTGGGGAGTCTAACACCCCATTTCCATAGATTAGATCGACCTAACTCCCTGGGGGTTCACGCTAAATAGCTGTCAGCCGGGCGGACATGAAAGTTAATTACCCCCTTACAGCTTGTAGTAGGCGGAACGGACACTTAAGGAGGATTATCTGACAGTAATCTGGTGAGACTCCCCGCGGTGATAGATCGATCTAAAGTTGTGGGAATAGACCCTTACTAGATTACTGTCATATTAGACGGCTTAAGTGTCTGCCCCACCTACTAAAAGTTATAAAGGGGTAATTATCTATGATGCGCGCTCGGCTGACTGCAATTTAGCGTGAACCCCCAGGGAGTTAGGTCGTTCTAAATCTTCATTTCTGGATCGATCTAAATCTCTGGGAATACACCCTAAGACCTCACTCTCTTCCACAATAAAACCTCTCATCTAAAGCTCCTATTGCTTGGCCTTTAAAGCCCACCTAGCATCCCTGAACATGGAGGGAAAAAAATTGCGCACCTACAGCACCTCCAAGAAAGATTTTAAAAGAGAAATATACATACAGTTAATCCATAGCTACATACCTTTGCAAATACAGAATAAGTGCACACAATCTGACAATAGCTAGGGGGGGGGGAGAGACACAAGAACCCTAAAATACCGATAGAGAAAGGCTATGCACATTGTGCAACATGTGCTCAGTCGAAGATGAGTTCCATTTTCCCTGCTATGCTCTACTGAGAGACTTATATTTTAACCAGGTTGGAGATATACTGGGCAGCGCAGCCCCTGAGTCCATCAGTGAATTTTTCTTACCATACTGCAATGTAATGATTGTGATATCACAAAATGCACATCTGACTTTCTTTTTGATTGTTTTTAAGCTAGGGATATGAAAATTGCATCTATGCTGAATAAAACCTAGATAAACTGATGATGCAGTTCTCATATCCCCCTAAACAAAAGAAAGTTTAATATAAGGTTTAGTGTAGCCTATTTTAGTTGAATTAGATTTTTTTGGGGTGGGGTGATCCCCATATTGATCTATATTGTGTAGTACTTGTACTTTTTTTTCACCTCTCTTTTCTTTCCCTGCATTAGTTTAGACATGATAATGCATGTCTAACTGTTTACGGTAATCACTCTGCGGATTCCTTTTTGTATTTGTATTTGATCATGCCTGGATGTAGGGCAATTGTCAATAAACTTCTGTATCTGTATCTGCTTAGCTGCCCAGTTTATGATGACCTCTGGTGCCCCTTTATTGCTAAAATCCAAACCTACTGAACTAATTATAAATGGCCTCTGGTGCCCCTTTAAGCTCTTGAAATCCCATATGGGATGGAGGAGGGAATAAAAGACAATGATTTCACTGCTTATATATGCATGTGAAGTATAATCCTAGATCCCCCATTTCAAAGCTTCTGGAAACACTCAAATTTGATCTTAAGTTATTACTTATCATTATTATAACTATTGTTTATTATTATAAATGCTATTATTAATTAATACCTGTTGGGCCAATTAAGCTGGGGGTGCAATAGGAATCTATAGGTGCATGTCGCATCCGAGAGTCCAAGCTGAGTTTGCACCATGAATCTATAGATTCATGTCGCATCTGAGAGTCCAAGGTGATTTTGCGCCATGAATCTATAGATTCATGTCGCATCTGACATTCCAAGCTGAGTTTGCGCCATGAATCTATAGATTCAAGTCGCATCTGAGAGTCCAAGCTGATTTTGCGCCATGAATCTATAGATTCATATCACATCTGACATTCCAAGCTGAGGTTGCGACACGAATCTATAGATTCATGTCGCAGTTTGTGAAAATCACAAAAATTTTATAAATTCCCACTACTTAATAATTCCCATTTCAAATAATGACATGTTTAATTATAATTACTGAATTACAATGTAGCCCTTTTTTTAGGATTTTAAACATGTGCCTCTATCAACTTACATGTATTTTCCTTTTAATATTGAGACAGCCCATGCCTGTATAATTAAACAAACAATAACTCATCTTCTATCATATGACATCCAAAAGTACATGTGTGAGTCTCTATCAGCAGGTGGCCTATGTATTTCAAAATTCTGAAGTGAGACATATATTTAACTAGAAAAGCACTCCAAGAGTGCAGACCTCCTCCAATTTTAGGCAGTGGTTTTTAATTATTGTTGATTATTGATTGATTATTGATCCGGATCACCACCAAAAACTAATCATCTCTTCCTTGGCCCTCTTCTGACAGTTCCTGAAAATTTCATCAAAATCGGTCCATTCATAACTTTTTGAGTTATGTTGATGACAGACAGACAAACAAACAAACAGGGGTGAAAACATAACCTCCTTGGGGGAGGTAATTACTGGTCTAGTGCGTCGATGTTTAGTTCAGTTCTGTGACATATGTAAATAAGTTACTGTACACTTTATAATACTAATGCCATATGTTACATATGTGTGTATATGTAAATAATGAACTGTATGCTAAATGTTACTTAGGCATGCTTCCTCCAGTTCCCCAGACACTGAGAAATGGATGCCTCTCCTCTCAGAGGGCCCATACACCTTCATCAAGGACAATGAGCATACAATGGACTTGAACATAAGTCTGGAGAAGGGTCCAGTCCATGACCAGTACAAATGTGTAGTGGACAACGGACATGTGCCAGTGGAGGTGTTGGCCTCCTTGAGACAAAGGGACACAGGTAAGAGACAGGAAATTTGATTTGAATTTCTTTTTGATTTTTTTTTTCAAAGTTGTTAGTATTTTTATAGTTGCATGTACATGTACTACATGTAGTATAGCATATTTAAATTGAATATCCATTTAAGAAATCAACTTTATTTTATACCAAAAAAATTGCATATTTTACGGACAACTATTCACTTAAATATTTTGATGATATTATTGTGTTTTTAATGAGATTTTTTATTTACTTATAGTCAGTTAGATTTACTGTGACCTTGAATTTGACCTTTGTCCTACTTTTCACCATAAACTGAACTTTGCAGAGATATGAACATAGTTACTGTTGAGCATGGATGGGATGTTTTATATTGGCAATGTTGCTGTGACCTTGAATTTGGTCTCTGACTTACCTTGAACTGAACATTACAGTACAAAATTTCCTACCCTTACATCTCCAAAACTGGCAGGGATGCACCCATAGTTGCTGCTGATCGAACCTCAAAAGTATATAGATAGATAGATAGATAGATAGATAGATAGATGTGTGTGTGTGTATGACCTTAAATTTGAACTTGATCTACTTTTTCCCCACCATTAAGAAAATAATTAGAACTACAAAAAATATGTTTGTAGCTATCTTCAAAAAATACAGACATAAGCCTTAGGATTATGATGATTGAGAACCAAAAATGCATATGTCACCCAGAATTTGCAAATATATTTGGGGAGAACACATTTTTATGTGTCTAATAAAATGCCATGAATATTTGGATGCACTTGCACATACTTGTTATGAATTTCACAACTAGTTCAGTTTGTAACCAAGGTTTGTTCTTTACTTTTAGGAACTAAAAAAACAGATGCTTCAGAGAAAGAAGGTCTCTCACCTGATGCTATTATTGGCATAGTGATTGCCAGCATGACAGTTGTGTTCCTGATTTTTCTAGACATTCTTTGCTGCTTCAAATACAATTGTGGTGTGCTCATGTGCTTGTGCACTCACCTGCGTGGCAAGGAAATGCCCTGCGGTCCAGCTAACTGTAAAATAGCAGATGTGGAGAATGGAACTGGGTAGGTGATCCATATTGATATGCTCGTGCTTTCATCTTCTGGTTCACTTCTCCACCTTCACCTCTGATCTTTCTTCCAGCCTCTTCTTGAATTGTAAGCACTATAGTCTCTCTGATAGTAGCTTTCTGTAAGGACTACAACATGCTCCCAAAGGATCCCTGGATCAAAGAAAAATATCTTATCCATGTGGCTTTGTGACAAAGATGCCAAATAATGTTTCAGTTACCTTTGTTGAGCTGAGCTGAATTTCTTATAAGAAGTGGATTTGGGGTATGGCGCTGCTCCTGACTTAGGATTGGCTATTTTTTTGCACTGATGAGCATTTTTTTTTCATTAAATCTAAAAAATCATTTGTTTGGTGGTGGTAGAGGCTAACAAATGTTAACAAATGTTAATTCTGTTTGTAGATTACCAGTAGTATCATCTTGTTTGAATTGTCACAGTAAGTTTCCTGTTCCTTCATTTCCTTGTGTTGTCATAGCATGTGCCCAGTCAAGCTGTGGATTAACAACTGCTTTGGTTGAGAAATCTCCACTTTCTTGACCTAACACAATAGTCAACCCCAAAAAATGTTACCAGCTATTGCAACTACTACAACAGACACCCAGAAATATTGAGTTGTCACAATTTCCACAATGGATTACTAAGGCTTCATTCACATGGAAAGTCCACTTTCTAAATTCTATTTTCTATTAGCGGTATGTCTTTTGATCATGGTCTGTGCCCTGAATATCCTGCGGCGTAATTACTAGCAGCGCGAGCCAGTTACTTATACAAAGCCTAAAATGTGTCTATTTGTCACATTGTAACAACTTCTGCCCAGATAAGACCAGTTGAAGTTCTTAAGAAGAAAGGGTGACAAATTAATCATGGCATTTGCTATATATATATAATTGTGATATTTGTTTTGAGTTTGCAACCAGTATTTTATGAATTTATTTGAAAAGATTTTTTATCCAAACATTAAATTGAAATGAGAAGGGATAAAAATGCTTATTCACAAAAGTTAAAATCAAGCTGCCAAACAGAAAACTGTCCGAAATTGATTTCTTTCTATTCAAACTTCTTTAAACTGGCTCTGTCATCATAAGTGTAGTGTCAGTAAAATCGTCTTTGTTCATGTACACTCCCAAATAAATGAGTTATTCCTGACATTGTGTTGCTTTATTTGTTATCGCAGAGAATGTTAGCAAGCATTGCCTGAGGATGATAAGATTCGGCCAATAGATGGAGCTATACTGAGGCAGCAAAGGAGTAAAATGCCCAGCATGAAAGTGTATTTGTTATATGTGATGTGTCCAGTGTCATTATCCTGTTATTTTTGCAAGCCTGTTTCAGCTAGCCTGTGCCCAGACCTTTAAACCTGTAGCTACAGTCAAAAAGGCCACCAAGGTCTGAGAATCTACAGGCATTAAAATAAGTCCAAACATTGGCTGCTAACAGAACAAAGCTGAAATGTGAAAAAAAAATGTTGGAAAACTGTCATAGCTCTTTATATGTTATGAAGTCTTCTTAGGGCCTAGCTAAACCTGTTGTTTAGTTCATCTAAATAAGCCAGAATTGCCATTGTGTTAAACATAAACTGTTAAACAAATGGCTTATTTTTCAAACCAACAAGTTATTTCATAGACAACTACAAATTTATTTGTGAGAAATTGGAAATATGGTGGCTTAAAGTTAAGACCAAACTTTAGTCCCAAATTCCATATTAACCGAACCCCCTGCTCAATGACCTTGCCATTGTGGTGATTGGCATACTGTCCCAGGGATGACTCTAAACATTTTCCCATTGTCTGCTGGGATCAATAGCAAGGTACAAATTAAAGTTAGGCTATTACAGCTTTGATGTAGTATACCTCAAAGGGCGGAGTTTTCATCAGCCTTGTTATGAAAAATGCATGTTTATTATTTTCATTATTGTTGTTGTTGTGACTATTATTATGATTATTATTAAAATTTAAAAAAAAACATCTAAATGTATTTTTTTATCTTCTTTTCAACTGGTTTGGTAAAATTAACTCCTAATGTTTTTATTTATTTTTCACTCACTTCAAAGGTGTTTTTAAAGCCAGTTAGTTGGGTACTTTTGAAATTAATATTTAGACGATGAATGCATCCTCAATCATGTATGTTAATTCAAATAAGAGATGGGGGTATTTCAACCAGGAACATTTGGTTCTTTACTGTTCTCGCCACAAACATTTCAATAATGAGTTGACTGACAATTGCATGCTTAATATGTTACTAGTACTGGTTTTTATTGTCTTGCAGTGACGAGAAACAAAACCTTAAAGGTGACACAGAAACAGCTGATTGTGAAGATAAGAAGGTAATTACTTTTAATCCTTAAATTTTTATATTATTTTATTTGCATTTGTCAGCAGTAGAATACACTGAGACTAGAGAAAGAAAGTCAGAAGAAGATATATCATGCAAATCATAAAATGTTCATTGGTGTTCTCGAGATGTTTTTAAATTTCAGTTTTATGTAAATTTGCTCAAATTTGAAAAAAAAAGTTTTTTAAATTCTTTACTCAAGATGCATGTCCTGAGCATTTGGTAAACCTTTTTTTGCACTGTATTTTTAAATGGAGAACATTTTTGATAAATTCTTTATATTTACTGTGTCAGTGGAGTTCTTTTTCAAAATGCCTGTCAAAATGAAAAGAAATTACTTATTTTTATGCTACTTCTGCTCATATGGTTGCATTGCTTTTGGAAATCCATATTTGTCGACATGTCATTGGACTGTGTTTGTTACACTTTTATTGGACTTTTATCATTTGTTTTTTTATATAGCCTGATGCAGGTCCAGAGGAGATAGAACTTGAGGAGAAGACCCCCCAATAAAAATCATGCAGAGGAGAACAATGAAGAAAGAGAAAGAGAAGAAAGGAAAATGCATTACCATCCTTCCAGATACTATGAAAAGAAAGAAATAAAGATGAAATATAAGAAATTAAAAAATGAATTAATGGCTGGATCAATTAATGGAAGAATTCTATTTTAACAGAGTAAAATCAGTAGATTTTGAATCTAGGGCAGCCATCTAAAACTTGAAATGCTTTATTATGCTTACCCAGAAAGTACTTTTTTTTTATTAGGAAACAATGACAGATAAGTCAATTTGTCTTTGAAAGTTTGTTACAATCTCAAATATTTGGCAACATTCCCATTTAAGATGAAATTATATTAACACTACAGTATTATGTTATAATAGGGTACCTTTATATAGATTTGGATGGTGCTTAAGGCACCGTTCACATGAAACATCCGAATTCTAAAAATCCATTAGTGGTATTAATGGTACCCTGAATACCCCGCGGTGCAATTAACAAACAGAGCGAGTGAGTTGTTTCCAAAGCTGTACTTAATTCTCAGCTGTGCTTGGAGGAGATTCTGACGCCTGCTAGTTAATTGCACTGTGGGGTATTCAGGGCACAGACCGTGATCACTTGATACTGCCAATAGATTTTTGGATTTTTAGAATTTGGATTTTTCATGTGAACCGTGCCTAAAAGGTTGTTCTTGTCAGCTTCCCCCTCCCACTGTACATCACACGCTTAATGATTTTGAAATATTTATTCACCATTTTGCATTTAGCCAAGCAAACGAAGATTTAAAAAACAGGCTGAACAGTAAATTGGCATTTTTAGACATTACAGTCAAAATATGAGTAATTTTATTCATATATTTATATTGTAGGTTAATCAGTTTACTTTTTGAAATATATTTCTCATTGGGTATTTGAGAACATTAGCATATAATTCTATGAATATTGGTATCAGTGCTTCAGTTTAATCAGGAAACTTAATCATTCCATGACATTTTGTTTAGAATTTTTAACATCTTCCATGTGATTCCAAATTGCAAGGTGATTGAGGATTGATGCTTTTAATCTCATTATCTAGTCGGTATATAGAAAGGAAGGAAAAGTTACAGATAAGTCCTGATGATGTCAAAATTTACCATCACATCTATGGTGCATTTTTTTTTTCAATGTATTTGGTGAACAGTCATTATCAGACAGCGTTGCCTGTATCAAGAAACAACGAAACTGCTGCCTCAGTTCCAAAATCAAGGTTTCTTTATTCAATTTTAATCACATTTTTTAACAATTTGCCAGTCAAAATAACATTTTTATCATGTGTAACTTTTTTTTTACTTTACACAGTGAGGTGCATAATGACTATATATGTAAACTGAACATAGTTTAAAAACCTTCAGAAGTCTGATTAATTTATTTCATTTTGTTGCGTTGGACAATTTATTATTTTATTTATAATTTTATTTTATGGTTTGTAGTGAATAATAGTTCAAGTATTCAGTTACTATGGATACAGAAAAACATTATAGTTTAAGTATCTGATGTCCTAAAGTCACCACTATCTAGTATTCTTAGAGTGGTTTTGTAACTTAAACAAGTCTGACAACAGAGACCCTTCCTAGGAACAATTAACACGTACAGTATGTGGAATATATCTCAGCATACCCAGAAATAGTTGCTTTTCTGTTTGAGAGTTGTTCTATATGATTCTCTTCATGATAGTATAATGTTCATTCAAAAACAACCCTTGAAACTACGTATTTCAATATATTTGTTGGATTCCAGGACAATCCCCCACCCCCCGAACATTTCCCCCCAAGGAATATATTTATATACAAATATGAAGTAAAGTTTTAAGGACAAAACATTTCATCCTTTTTCTTTCAAAATATTTTTAATGTGATAATGCAACACCATCATTTAACGGACTATCTTATAACAAATTCCTTTTATTTATTAAATATCCAGAATCAAAGTAAAACCACCTATCTTCCAGGTTAAGGTGGGGTAAAGAGATGAACGGGTACACAACATTTTATGAATATTTTTATTGAAGTGGGTAGTGGACAAGCAATTAAAAGTGACAGATAATCAACGAGATACCAAGATAAGTGGGAAAATAAGTTTACCAAACCTCTACCTAGAGATGCACCTTGATTCAAAGCAGGCAACTTGATCAATTAAAAGTAACAGTTAATTCATCAAAGGGTTACCTAGATCAGTTTGAACATTTGTTTACCCCACCTTTAACTGGAGCTATACTTTGATTAGATTTTTGCTAAATTTTCTGTACTCAGATCTATTTCAAAAACTTTCTGTGTTTGTACTCCATGAAAAGCATTTGTTAAATGAAATTAATATTCTGTCTTCGAGTTGCATCATCACACTAAGAAACCACAGTATTGAAGACTACAGTATTTTAAGAAGTGTTATAAGTATTTTAAAAACTTTGATACATGATGTATCATTAACTTTATCAGTGCATGGAAGCCTTTGTCTCATAAAATCCACACTTGGGAAACCAAGATGTATACTAGTAAGTAGCTTTAGATTATATTTCACATCTAGCAGTTCAAAATTGTTAAAATGTCCTTTGTTTCAAGCTCATAATCTGTTAGTTATCAAGCACTAACATGGGAGTTACCCAGGGTGCTTACCATGAAGGGGTGGACTGATGTCTGAAGTTACCAGTCAGTTTATAATTAAGTTAAATGATTGACAAGTTTAGCATAAATATCTGTGAACTTATATCTAGAGGAGGATAAACAGGAGATTGAGATAGGGGGAGAGACTGAGGAGAGATCAGTTTGACGTTGAGAAGTTACATTTCTTGTAAAATGTTGGGAAATATATTCTGTTGAAGTTGCAACATGAAGTTGTTTTATTCTTTTCTGTGTGCATATATAAGACATAGAACCTGGGAATCTCTGTAGCAGTATTTCAGATTGCATCATCATCAAGGATATGAGCCCATTGTGCCCAACCCCTGGGGTTTTATTATCAAAGGTATATGTCATGTAATGTGGGGGACGGGCGGTCATTAAAAGGGTCCCCCACAAGTGGCAAGCTTGCCAGGACATGTCTGGAACAGTGCAAAATTAAGCTATGAATCAAATTTAGAAACGGCCTTTTTAATAATTCATGCAAAAATTTATGTGATCATGGACACTAACGTCATTCAAGTTTAGAGAAAGTTGTATTTTTGCTAAAGTCATTCAAGAACAGTACATTTCTAACTAGCTGAAAAGATTATCCCTTTAAAAGAAGTCATGGGTGGGCTTAAAAGCAATTATTGCTTCAATAACCAGAGAATTATATCCGATATAATTCCCTGCTTTAAAGGGATAATAACTCTTTGTATTTGTATGAGATCTATATTTCACAATAAAAACATTGTGAATAACTCAAACACCCCATTTTCAGATCGATCTATCCCTGTGGGGAGTCTCACTAGATTACTGTCAGCTTGGCCAGCTTAAGCGTCTGTCCCGCCTACTAAAAGCCGTAAAGGGGTAATTTACTATGGTGCCCGCTCGGCTGACTGCAATTTAGCGTGAACCCCCAGGGAGTTAGGTCGATCTAAATTTTAATCCCTGGATCGATCTAAATCTCTGGAAATACACCCATAGAAATACATTCTGTTTTACCACAAAAACAGCAGTTAAAGCTATTATTCTGATATCTGAGCTTGTCTTCAGACCACGTGACCTCCATTGATGGCTATACTCTGTTAAAATCTCTTAAGAGATTTTAACAAAAAAACAAACTTTTTAGAAAAAAAACAGGGACTAATTTTAAATGTAAAAATGGATTCATTAACCATTGGTAAGTATGGGAAAATTCTTGTTTACTCCAGGAAAATTCTTTTTTTTTTTTTTTTTTTTGGGGGGGGGGGGCGAAACAAAGAGTTATTATCCCTTTAACAAATATCACTACCTGGCAAGGAAAACAAGTCAAACAAGACTATTTCTCATCAATTCTATATAGCACAGTATTTCTTAGGATCAGTGAGACCCTTATCACAAGGGATACTAGGGTGATAAGAAACGAAGGCAAGAATATAATTTCTCCTTTGCGACAGTGATTGCACGTGTAATTTCAACTCCACAAGTCGTCCCTGATACTATACATGTACATGCGCACGCTTAATGACGACTGACTAGTAACTGTGGGATATTTAGGAAATTTAGAAAGTGTTCTTTACCCTGAAATAACTAAAATTACGTCAAACAAGAGACAAATTATAAGCAAGTAACCTTTTTGGGGCACGACTTAAATATTCTAGTTGCCTGAACCTTGGACATAATGACGTCATTATGTCCAAGCCTGAACAGATCCTCCCCCCCCCCTCCCCTACTATCTGTCATTGGTAATTTCATTTCATTGGTAATTATCTTAGCTTGAGCAATTAGGCAAGAAGGCACGTCTACTACATATGGGATGTCATGAGCCTGTAATTCCAGAATAAACAACCAGGCAGAAAACACTATATATGGATCAAGCGTAACTGTTACATGACTATTTAAACTCTTTAGCCTCAGCGGGTACCTGCTCTCTGACATGACCCACTGAGGACAGAGGTATTTTGGATACTATTGCACATGCGCGCCAATGATAAAGAATAGACTATTTATCGGCACGCCCTACATTGTTAGACGGTGAGGTAATTGATAACCACCGCGAGACCGAGCTGCGAGATGTCAGTTAATGTGAGTTTTTACTATTAAAATTAATGTATTAGCTGCAGTTTTTAACAAATATCACAACACACTGTTATATTAAAAACATAATGTGAGATTCCTCCGCAGAAGGTTGTAGAAGGTTCTTGAAAGTTCGAGAAGCCTCGATTTGAGTAGGGGAATCCCCCCCAAAGTTTAGAAAACTTTACCGCGGCACAGGAGTAACTTGGCTCATTCTTACGCAATAATATAAAATATCAACAGTATATTTTACGAGCACCAGACAATTTAAAACGTACAGAGACAAACGATTGGCGAACACTGTGAGAAATACAAAGAACAGTCTGATTCGCAGGTGAGTGGCACAACAGTCAACAGGTGGGTGTTTTTAAAACTTTTTTCTTCATGTCTTACTGCGTAGTTTAAGTATGACTAATTACACATGTACTTAACTTCAGGTTAATATTGTATTCAGCTTCGTAAAGAGAATACTTCATGGAACATGAGAAACTCTGAATCTTTGTTTTCATAAAAATCAAGCCTTGAAGCCGTAGATTTAGTGTTAAGATTGAATAAATGAGACGAGGAGATTGGGGCAGTTTGGCCCATTGATCGAGACACTTATAGACTTGCAGATCGAGTCAACTAGTTTAGAACAAGTTTAAAAGATTTGCTTCATGCCGTCAGAATGGCCTGAACGGAACATATTCTTCAGAAAACATGTCCAACTAACGATATCTTTATTCAAATACACAAATTAAAAGCTCATTTTGTAAATTTTTGGCTTTAGAAAACGTCCTATTTGCCCGGCCTGGGAGTTAATGAGTCACATGGTCACGTGGTCCGATGACGACAATCGTGCCACCGGAGAACAGAGCGTGCTAAGCTGTCAAACTGAGCTGCATTGTCTACCTGTAAGATGACTTCTCTGGCTTCTGATAAAAGTTTATACTCATTCAAATCTCTTACCCGAGGGGTCTAAATCCTCGTAGGGCTGTGTAAAATCATTTCCCGTCTAGTCAATTCTTTAACAAGCATTTAATTATGGTTATCCCAAGTTGTATAAAACACTGCATTTGAATGAGTCTATGGTGCGCTCTCGGCTGACTGCAATTTAGCGTGAACCCCCAGGGAGTTAGGTCGATCTAAATCTTAATCTCTGGATCGATCTTAATCTCTGGGAATGCACCCTAAGTACAGCTTTGTTTAGGGTGAAAATTGCGATACAAGCGTAGCGGTATGTTGTGAGAAATTGACAACCTACTAATCTGACTACTACACAAGATAATAACTTAAACTGTCGTTTTCAGTATCTGAAAACAGCAGAGGCATGTTGATGATAGAGAGGCAAGTTTCCAGTGTCCCCTAAATCTCGGGGCGAGAGCAGCTTGATCGTTCTTTGTTTTCTATAAACCCTCTCCTGACACAAGTGTAGTTACGCAGCGTGCTCTCCGGTGTCAGAGTTTGGAAGTACAGTCCGATTCTGAATTTCTTATCATAAAACGGATAAAGGCCGAGATGAGGCGCGGGAGGAAAAGAAAGTCGGTAGCTGAAGCTTCAGCTCAGCAGGAAAAGTCGGAGGCAGAGTTGCCTGACCCTCAAAAGAAATCCAAATCTGAGAACCAAACCAGCCACGCTAGCGATACATTTTGGCTAAAAATAGAACATTGGTNTGAGGTCCATGTTATTTGTGAAATTCAATAAATTTTATTAAACCGCTGACACTCCGTCTTGCATACTTTTATTAAACTGAGGTAAACAATGCCCGTTACCTTTACAAGTCCTATCTTAATCATCCATCTAACTGGAACTTCCTTTACCTCTTAATTAGACGGTTAAATGACATTCAATTTGTCTTGCTTGTATGGAACACACTCTAAGCTTTACTCCAGTTATCTCAGGTAAAAATCTATCTGTGCGTTAGTTTCAAAGAGCAGCTCCCGTAGACCTGGGGGTACTAGATAAAATCTGAACACCAGGTTTATCGAGGAGTTACACCCCATTTCCATAGATTAGATCGATCTACTTTAGATCGACCTAACTCCCTGGGGGTTCACGCTAAATAGCTGTCAGCCGGGCAGACACGAAAGTTAATTACCTCCTTACAGCTTGTAGTAGGCGGGACGGACATTTAAGTCGGATTATCTGAAAGTAATCTAGTGAGACTCCCCGCGGGGATAGATCGATCTAAAACCTATGGGAATAGAGCCTTAGAGAAAGAAAGGAAGAATTTTTCCTGCACAGCTTCATAGGAATTTTAACACGGACTTGATCCAGCTTAGACCTCCAAACTAACAGGGTGACATGGGCAATTTTCACAAACAAATCATAAAACTATATTTCAGTTAGCCGCCTTTAAAATAAATATACCGTTCTGGGTAAATTAGAATATTTATTAAATCACGAGAATATTTTTGACTTCAATGATGATTTTATTATAAATGGGAATTAAGCTACTATATGAGGTACATTTGCTGTGATTACGCTATCCTTCATGTTTTGCGTAAGTCTACATTTTGCTGTACGTGCTTGTAATTTTTTAAAATCCGTGCGTACAATTTTTGCAGGTCTGGTTACGCCCCTGTTATGAGATGAGAGTCTTAATTTTGCAATTAGTTCCTTAGCTTATTTAAATAGAATTGCAGTGTAAAATTTCAACAAGATGTTGGCGAAATAGCCCTTTACTCTTTGTAGATATTTCCCCCGTCAAAGTTTGTCTAAAATTATCTTTCAATCTTTACTCTTTCAAAGATGGTATAAAGTTATCTGACATATTTTCGTGTTAACTTAATAAGCCAAGTGTCCCCAGTTCATTCCATACTCAATTTTACCCAAGCAAATTTTTTTCTTGGGTAGACCTTTATAGCACGGTGTTATAAGCTTACAAATTTGCAAAAAGTTTTGCGTACAGACGCAGAATTTGCGTTTCAAGTTATAAAATGATCAATCTTTTAAATTATTTAATATTTCAGATGAAATAATCTTCAGAAACAAATCCTCAAGGCATAAACGAATTAGGATTACGAACCATTTTATTACAGCCGTTCCCATTTTTTATGTAATATAACGTTCTTTTTCCTGTTTTTCCTCAACACGTTTTCTTCCACGGAAGTATAGCCTGGGCATACGCATGCTTCAAGATACCCTGAGAGCAATTTCTTTTATTAATGTTCGCGACCGTGTTTGAACTTAATTGTTTAAATATTGATATTTAACGTCATTTACAAATACCAATAAAATAACCATATGAAATAAATAAGATATATTGAAAAATATGAAAGCCCACCAAGACGAGTTTCATACCTGTTATTACCTGGGTTGGGAAGTGCAGCGGTGCATATTTAACAGGTTTGTTGTAAACGAGCTTTTGGTCAACTACAATGCATTTAAAATGCATCAGCAATCAGTAAGTTTGCCAACTGATGACAGTTAATCTGAAAGACTACCAGCTCTTGATATGATCTAAACCACCTGAGGTGACCATGATGCACTTTTTTTTTTTTGAAAGCGTTGTAGCCATTTTTTTATGCTAGAATAGAACGTGAAAATTTTCAAAAGTAATCAGAAATGTTATTTTTAGAACAATTTTTTTTAGTTAAGACTGTTTATGTGATTTCAACATGTCAGATAGACCAATTCAATTGAAAAAAATGTCAGTAGCAGGCCTGTAACCAAAATTTTCAAAGAGGGTTTCCTTTTTTTGAATAAGTCGATCTACATAATACTATTAAGGTTGTTTGAAACTTTGATGATTCAGCTAGAAGAGGCCATTTCCTGGTCAAAAGAGTGTCTTTCAGAACCGTCCCACCCCCTTGAACCCCCCTCCCACCCCCACCCCATGTCCGCAGGCCTAGCTAGTTACATAAATGCCTTAATTATGTTGGTCATGAATACAATCAACTGACTTTTTATGTAGAAAGATCTTCTATTTTACCCTTTTTAACAAGTAGTCCATTAACTGTAGCAGTGATAAACTGAGTAGGGTCCATAGTCCCCCTTTTATCCTGCTTATGATATCAGAGCATGCATTGTGGAATTATCTTGGGGATTTTTTTTATCACCTGCTTACTAAATGTATAGAACAAAAAAGGGATGGGCAAAGTCACTTTAAATACACATTTAAAACAAGATGATGCATTATATTTTTCTTTTGATATCATGATTCTGTTGTTTTCTTTACTTTTCTTCTGCTGTAATATGGAATGATAGCATTGCTAGTTTTTTCATTTGTTCATGCAATTTTTTATTCTTGAAAGCATTGAATGTTGTTGGATTTTTTATGACAGATACATGTACATTTGCCTTGGTTTTGTGTTTTCTTCTCTTCTTTTATCAATTAAATTTTTATTTCACTCATGAGGTCATCGGCAAAAACATATAATGGACCTGTTCCATGATCATGTCACTAAAGCTATTTTGTTTTAGCTGATTATTAACTTGACAAGTGAATTTAAGTTCCAAACACGTAGGATTTGGAATTTACAGTTTTAGATAAAGCACTTCTTGTTGAACTTGTTTTGGTGACAACCAACTAAGTGATATGCCATGGTGCTTTATTAATCAGTGATATGTTACTATTATGTATTGCAAGTTCATCATGAACTTTGGTCAACAAGTTTTGGAAAGCTAGTATGTTGAAATATAACTGTGACCTTGACATTGTACTGATATTAACAGGAATGATTCAGCAATTTTTCAAATAAATATGTTAAGGTTGCTAACTAAACATGAAAAATTTGCCATTTTTTTCACAAGATTCCTTCATTCATTCAGTTATTTATTTATTTATTTATTTATTTATTTATTTATTTATTTATTTATTTATTTATTTAATCAGATGTTTTTTTAATGGGGGGGGGGAGCTCCAGAAGGCTGATAATACAGTTCAGGCCATTGTGATTGGATAGGATGATAATTGTTATGTGGTATTCTCCCCACCCTCCCCCCTCCCATTAAAATCAGACTTCTTATAGGCACAGATTTGTTAGTGACTTTTATGTATGATTTTGTATCTTGGCCATTTTCTTTTCCAGAAACAAGGATAATTATAGAAGGCAAAATAATGTCAATGAGGTTGATGATCCTTCTTCTGGCTGTAATGGCTACACCAGAACTGGTCCTGGAGGCGTCTGCTGTTCCTGTCCCCGAGTTCGTTTGGGTTGAAAATCCAGATTACAACCAAAAAGTGTATTGCAGGAATATAATTTGTTACCCTGGTAAGTCATCATGTTTTTTTTAAAATTTATTTACTCATAATGTTTTACTGTATTTTATTTTTATTTCTTTCAATGATTTATATCGATTTATTTAAGAACTTGGATGTAGTGTTTGGTCATTATACTGTGCTCGCTTAAAAATATTTCAGAGAAGTCGAGTAAATGCGATACCTTTTGCTTCAAACTCTATGATTACACTTGTTGGTATTATACAGCCCAAATTTGAAAATAAGCATGATCCTTGTATTCTTCATAGTATTTTAAATATAATAATAATAATAATAGTTATGATTATAATAATAATAATAATAATAGTTATTATTACTTAATTTGAATTTGTGTTTTTAGGACAGGAAGCAGTACCATGTAAGCCATGGGACAAATACTCATCCACTTGTAGAGACTGTAAGAATGGGACTTACCAGACATCAACAAATGATTTGCTGAACAATTGCTCACCAAAGTAGGTTGATGTAAAGAACAGTAAAAACTTGAAAATTTCGTCACTTAAAAATTAATTAATATCTTGAAATGCTTGACCATACTAGGTGACAAAAATGTCAGATTTATCAAGAGGTCCATTTTCAAGTTTGACAAAATTTCAGAAGTGAAAAATTTTATGACAGCAGAGAATCGTCTTCTAGCAAAATTTTCAAGACAGACTAAATTTGCAAGTTTATACCATATGCAGGGATGGGAAAGCTCTGTCATCTCTCTTTCCCTGCTAGCATTTTGATATGAAAGGAATGTGTCACTTGATAAACTGATGACAATTTGGTGATCAGAATTACATAGACTGACTGATATGCATGAGTAATGTTTTGGCATACTTAAAAAAGAAGAGTTTTTAAGGGTCATATTTTTTAAACATTTTTTTAACATTTATAGTTTGATGTAATAATTGTATTCATTGTCTTGTAGGACGATCTGCAGTGACCAGCCGGAGTCTGCGTACCACTGCACAGAGTATGAATCCTGGGGTTCCACTACAGAGGACGCCAAGTGTCGATGTCTGGAAGGCTGCTATAAGGACAATAATGCCTATGCTTGTCTACGAGCACCTGATGTCCCCACCACCAAGAAAGTGTGCCCCCTGGGGAGAATTGCAGATGGGAAAGGTATGTTTCCCTTCCTCTCTCTCTCTCTCTCTCTCTCTCTCTCTCTCTCATGTTTTACCTAAACTTTTAAAGGTCAGTGCATTATTATCTAATATAGAATTACATAAATACAGATTACTGAATAAATAAGACGGGAAGCCATGATGAAGGGTCTGAAACAACGCGCCAGGCACTACTTTATTGTTCATATTCATGCGCATAGCAATGTGCGGCTTGACATATAGTACACAAATACATATAGCATAGTACATACAGTAGAGTAAACAGTTCTACTTAACTACATACTGTTACAATTACAGCCAGGGGCGGATCCAGATGTATTTTCTGACAGTCTTCCAAATTATCTTTGTTGATCCATTCTCCATTTTTGACCGTCTTCCGACAGAAAACATTAGATGCCCGACAATGTAAACTTGAAAATCTGACCGTCTTCCGGAAGACCCAGAAGACGCCCTAAATCCGCCCCTGACAGCATGCATGTAGTGTGAATAATAGTTTCTTCACATTATTCAGATTTTATTGGGTAAGGGGGGTATCTTTAAGGGTTCATCTTTAATTGAATTTGATATTTTCTATTGTAAAACCTAAACTTTCTTATATACAAAATGCCTGAGCAGTACATGAACATTGGCATGAGAATTTTAATGACAATTTTCCTCCACAAGGTGACTGCTCAGATTGTCAAGACGGCTGGTTTTCCAAGGCAGGCCTCTCTGATGTCCCTTGTCAAGAGCACACCAAGTAAGTTTTGTCAGTCAATATGTAGTGGTTCCTTTGTGCTGCTTCAAAATTTGATGAAAGAATTACATGATTCAATTGCATTCCATTCCTAGTATTCACCCGGTATTACTTTGTTTGCATGCTTTGATATTTCATTTGGTTCAAAATTGGAAATATTTTGTTCAAGTGAGCTTGTATAAAACTGGTAGTATATGCACAGGATCTTAAAATTGACAACATTCAGTGTCACTGATGATTTTTTTAATGCCATTGAAAGTCTTATATATACCTATTAGAAATCCATCTTGAAATTCTGTTAATTCTATGTAACTGTTTTAACATTTCAGCTGTACGTCTTTGGGAAAATGTGTAATCCAGAGAGGCAACAGTACTGCAGATAATGAGTGTTCTGTCAAAACAGTATCTGGTAGGTCAATTAAGGCACTGGTGGAGGCTCTACTCTGCTGGGTTGTGCATAAATGTTTGGTCACAGTTTCAGTAACTAGAAACAACGATTACATTTATTTTGTTAAGCATTTCTACTTTATTTGTTAATACTGTGCAGTTGTTTAGCTTTATATGTTTTTTGTGAATGTGTGAATTAAAACTTTTTTTAAGTAATTTGTTTTAATATTTATCTGTAAAATTTTGATGATTTTGACATGGAAAAGTTTTTTATTTGTTTTGTTCTGTTTTACTTTGTTAGCATATACTGTAGATTTTTTCATGGTAAGATAATTCTTGTAAAATTGTTATTTCTACCATTTTTACTACTATAACACTCTGTTTTATTTTAGATCCCTCAAGCTGTGGACAGACCCCTGATGAGATCCCTGCTATACCAATTGCTAAGGATGATGGGATATCAGTAGGAGGATGGGTCGGCATTGCCATTGCCATTGCAGTATTTACCTTTGCTGTACTTGGTGTTTGCTACTGTATGCACAAGTTTGAAAAGGGTTGCTTCAAACACTCTCCTCCAAGTTGCCTCACTTCTGAAGACATTGGCTCAAGGGAGGACTTTGTAGATGGAGACTATGCTTTTCAGAATGAAGGTATGTGTTAAAGCTGTCAGAATGTTTTAGTTCTGCACGGCATGGGGGGGGGGTGATGTTCACTTGCACTAACATGAGCCTTCTGTACAATGAGAGAGAGAGAGAGAGAGAGAGAGAGAGAGAGAAAGCAGGCCCGTAGCCAGCAATTTCAAAGGGGGGGGTTCTTTTTCTAAAAAAGTGAACCTTTTACCATATAATCCCAATGTACACTGTACCTAGGTCAAATTTTATCCAGAGTGGACCTTTTTCCACCAAAAAGGGGGGTTCGAACCCCCCGAACCCCCCCTGGCTACGGGCCTGGAAAGAGAGAGAGAGAGGCCTCTGTTGGGGCTGGCTGTTGGTTGAACTTGTATCTAGGACACACCTGACAGGAGTCATAAAATTTATAAGCACCTGGTAGGAATTGATAGGCAACTGAAGTCGCCTATTATTAAAATTTTTTTTTTCATGAAATAAGAAAACTTTTTATTTCATGGTGCGCTGACACTTTGATTTTTGAATGTTGCTTTTTTCTTATCAAAGAAGTTTTCAATGCAACGTGAACAATTAATGTGCCATTATAGTATTAACAAAAATATGCTGGTTCAAATTATAATAATTATTATTATTATTATTATTATTATTATTATTATTATTATTATTATTATTATATATGTTTCATTTTTGGTATCTTCAGTTATTTCTGATCACCCGTACTTGCAGAGGCTGATGGTATAATACATGTGTTTTTGAAAATATAGATACTTGTATGCACAAAGTTGAAATGGACAGATAAGATACCCATTGCATGCATTTGTAATCCTAATGATCTCACTGTCATTTATTTTTTAGTGCTTAGAGAGGTTTTCGAACTCCTAGAAAAAGAGATACCAGAGTGCTGGGAGGAACTTATAGGACATCTTTGGCCAAATGATAAAGTGGAAACCATTCGTGCTTCAGTTTTTAATGACATGGGAGGTGAGTAATTTATAATAAATTGATAATAATAATAATTTATAGAGCACTGAAATGTTTTTATAATAAAAAAGGCTCTCTGGCTACTAAATATGACTCCACACTTGCCATCCTTGCCTCCTACTGATATCCCATCATCCTTAGCAATTGGTATAGCAGGGATCTCATCAGGGGTCTGTCCACAGCTTGAGGGATCCTTGCAACTGTGGAGCCGTGATTTAATCTGATCAGTGCACCTGTGGAGACCATCAGCGGACTAGTTGGCTCTTCTTTCATGTAGAGTCTGCCATATTTGATCTGTGGATCAGTAGATCCTTGGATCTTTTGTTCTTTAAGGGATTAAGGTGTCTTTACTGTGCCAGGTTCGTGTATTGAAGTTGACATGGGTGTATGGGGGTAGGATAGGATGTTGTGATGTAATGAATTACGGTCTGATTTTTTGTCATACGAACAAACCCATTTTGTGGTAACTTAGATTTTTTTCTTTTATTTTTTCATAATTTAGAGAAATCAAGCACTCTGAGGCAGAAAATGAACTGTGTGCTACACTTGTGGAAGCAACGGAATGCCGAGCAGGCCACTGTGAAAGTTTTAGAGAAGGCGGTGAAGAAAATTAGCAGCAACAAAGTCAAGGCAGTGGTTGAGAGGATTCATGATGTTGTTAAAAGTTTGTATATTATATTTCTTTATTATTTTTCAAAATGAAATGAATTATTGCTTCTACCCAAAAGGTTCTATTTTTGGTTGGTTTGTCTGTTAGCTAGCAACATTATGCAAAGAGTTATGAATGGGTTTTTGATGTAATTTTCAAAATAACACCCCATTTCCATAGATTTTTAGATCACTCTATCCCTGTGGGGAGTCTCACTAGATTACTGTCAGCTTGGCTGGCTTAAGCATCTGTCCGGCCAACTAAAAGCTGTAAGGGGGTAATTAACTATGGTGCTCGCTCGTCTGACTGCAATTTAGCATGAACCCCCAGGGAGTTAGGTTGATCTAAATTTTAATCCCTGGATCGATCTAAATCTCTGGAAATACACCCTAAGTCAGAAATTGGCTATCAGGAGAATCAGTTGTAGATTTTAGTAATTAACCAATTACTCATCTTTTCAATGGGCAAAAATGATCACACTTTAAGGTGCACGATTTTATAATCACAAAAATCATATTTCTGTATGTGATTTGTGGTGCTTTTACTGCATAGAATAGAACTACAGAGTACCCTGCTTTTTAATTTTGTTGCTAACACTAAATAGGGATATTCTAATTTCAGAAAATTATGACCTAAAAAAACAAGGTATCATTAAAAGAAAATGCAAAAAGCTCACAATTTTCCCCCATATGAAAAAAGATGTTTTTCGGAAGCAATTTATGAATTCATATTCATTTATTTGTAGAGGTCAGGAGTTTAAGAGATGGGGACCAACCAGAGAGCTCCTCTGTTGAGATCCAGCTGTGACCAAGGTGAAGGTCATGGACTTGACAATTTAGACAATGACAGAAGCCAGGATGAGAGGGACCCAGGACCAGAAGTAATTGTAGATGTCGCTGAAGTTCACTATAGCAACAGACCTTCAAGTCAGTGCGAAGGATGTTTAGGTTTGGAACATCTCCAGCGATCAAGTTCAGAACACAGCATGAACAGATTTGCCTCACAACCATATCTATCACCCCTCCGCCACTCTGTCTCTGAGCCCAACAACGAACAGGAAATGAAACTTTGCGAGTTAAAATCGCACCACTATGAGGGCGACTCAGCTCAAACATCTGGCATTGATCTCTCTTTCAAATCCTTAAATGTTAGTTCTACAGATGTGGCAATGGTACAGGATTAGTAGCCAGTCGTGATAGTCTAGGTTCACTAAGTGTAGATTCTTAAAATTTTGTATTCTGTATTATGTCAAAAGGGGGTAGCCTTGAAAGGTCAAGCAAAGAAGTCACAACAGGAAATTTTTTTAATATCCCCTCCCCCCCCCCCAAAAAAAAAAAAAAAGAAGACATTAAAAAGATTTTTAAAGATTTAAAAGAGATTAAGAAAAATAAAAAGATTTTTTAAAGATTAAAAAAAAAAGATTTAAAAATATTATAAAGGTATGAAAGATAAAAACTAATATTAATTATTTCTTAACCAAAATATGATATCTTGTAGAGTGATAGTCTGATGTTTTTAAGGTATTTTAATGCTGGAGATGAAGAGGACCTGAGAGTGTACATAATATAATTAAGAATTATTTGTATGATTAACCTAAATGCACAGTTACTTAGAGTATATACCCAAAGGGGCCATTCAGGATAGATGATCCGAGTACTAACTGTACTTGGATTATCTATTCTGAATGGCCCCAAAATGCTCATAGGTGTAAGTACTACCAATGTTTAGACATATGCATAGACAGTTATTTTTTATCATCGAAAAGTTCATTTTTGTTATTCATTGTTATTGATGCAAACTTAAGATGCACTTGGAAATATGCAGCAAATAATTCTTGCAACTTTTTGCAAACTTCCTGAGATGTTTGCCTCAAACTGTATAGCAAATTTATTTATTAGAAGCAGTGATTAGATACATAATGGTTTGCTAAAGCAGTTCTATTTAATAAGCCTGAGATAGAGTATGTAATAACTTGGATATTTTCCCTTATGTCATTTTTGTCAGAGAAAGTGCTTGTATTAATGGGCATTGTTTTTTGGGAAACTTCTGTGTGTTAAAAGAATTAAGAGTGTCTTAGGGAAGTGAAGAATGGTGTTTGATATTAATTTTTTTTTAGACAAACAATGAGCGCATTCAGGACAGATGATCCTCAGACCAATTGATCCACGGACTAAACATGGCCAATCCCACTTAGAAGCAAGCCAACTAATCCCCTAATGGTCTCCCTGCCTCCACTTCTGCCATTAAAGAGCTTAATTTTTGGCTACGCTATTAAATTGCTAGGCCCCTGCACGGACAGTGTATTTGGAGGTGGGGAGACCAGTCAGCCTTGTTTTTAAGTGGGTCAGCCATTTTTGATCCGTGGATCTGTTAGTCCGCGGATTAACTTGTTCTGAATGTACTCAGTGACAAGGCGAAAAAAAAAAGATTATGAGACAGAAATTGAGTAGAATACAGAAAAGCTGATATTACACAAGATTGTTGGAAACAAGAGAAAGCTTGTAACTATCCATGGAGACTGATAGTGTCATTGGAAATGAGCCAGTGGTTGATTTTTTTGTGTCCAAGTTAGAAGCATGTATAAACAGACAATTTCGCACATCAAACACGGTGGTATTCTTGCCAAATGCTGGTCTGTGTTATTGACATACAGACCTTTCCAGATGTCACATCACAATCATGGAATCGGTGACATCACATATGACGTGAATGCAGGGAGCTCTTTAGCTGAGCTTACCATTTAAGGTTGTTTGCAATGGGAATGAGGAAGGATTTCCAAAACCTGGTGGGTTTTCAAGGTCAAAATTGTGGGTACAAGGTTTGTTATGAGATTGAGAGCTAGTAAGAAAGTTGGAGGTTTTACCCTTTGAAAACCCACCAGGCTTTCAAGCCCCTTCCTCACTCCAACTGCAAAGCAGTTTAAATGGCAACCTCAGCCTAAAAGCTCTCTGCATTCCCGGTCACATGTAATGAGACCCCATGATTGTTCTATCATATCCGGAAAGGTCTATAAAATGAGCTTTGCTGGTGAACCGAATTAGGAGTTTATGAAATAATATGTGCCTGCTCAAAGCTGGCAAATGATTTCACCAAAAGAAGTTCATTCTGTTTGCAATGACAGAGCAGCATTTGGAGAAGAATGACTTGTAATTTTTTTTTACTTCCCTAAGACACATTATACTATATAAAACTTTCTTTTAGGCTCAAATGAATAAAACAAGGTTTAAAACTCAGTTTTACATATCTGAGCCTAAACTCTACTTGTATATTTGTACATATGGTAATTTTGCTGTGGTTTAAGTAAAAGTGTTTATTGAAAGAAAATAAAACAGTTGCCTGATGAACGTCACAGTGGAAGGTCGTGGAAATTAAGTTATAATGAAAACAATGCCGTCTAATAATTGAATATGAATTTTTCTGATGTATAACAGCATGTCTTGTTGTGTGTAAGATGTGGTTGATCCTGTATAGTAATAAAGTTTTCTTTAGATGTGCAGCAGCAGTTCTTTTGTTGTAATTAATATAATTTTTCTTTCTTCGCCTGACTGGGTTGCCGTACACCACAAGTAACAAATGCTTTTATGTCTCCTTGATCTAAGCCGACTCGAATAATATGACATACTGGTACCTATTAAGAGAATAGATCAAACTCAAGCATGATGTACGAAGTTTAGTCGATAACGTCGTATTTATTATATTATAATGAAGCTGATTAGTGATAAACATTGAATAGTGTTGATAAATGATATTAACGTAATATGTACGCCTGGAATATCTACCTAAAATGTAATTTCCAAACAAATAGTGCACACATTTCAATTTTTTGGGCTGCACTCCCTATAAAATTATATACAATAACCCCTTGGGCTATGAATTTTTCACGCGTCTCGGAAATGTCACAAAGAAAAATTACATAGATCTACGTAAGGGTCAATTATGTGAAAAATAAATTTTCATGCAACAGATAAATTCTGGAAAAGGGTAAGGGGTTCCAGTTATGATGAGTACACTGTAGTGTGGATATGATGACTATTAAGTCACAGACCATATACCTTGAGAGTTCCCGCCCCGCGAGTATTCGATCTCCACCAGAGGCCAGTTGACATAAATTCTAAAACACCGTGCAAAAATTCACCAAGTAGAGAAATGTGCTAGTGCACATAAGTAGTTAGAGAAATTTCCGTGAAAGTTTGCGACCAGTGAAATAAATTTTTGTGATCTTCTTAGAGGATTCCCCTGCCTCCCTCCCCTTCCCCCACGAGAGACTACAGTTACCGGGATACGTATGCATCAAACACGGACTGAATGTGTATGTATTGTCACTTGTCATTTTCATCTGGGACTTAAAACTCATTAATTTCTTGCCCTTTGCTCTTGAATGAAACATCCTTGACATCTCTTTAACAGGAGGTCCAATACCAGCGCATGTACAGTACGTGCAACTCACTGAAGGCCTTTTACATTTTATTGTAACATCACTTTACACTCTGAAATTACATGTTATTTGTAAACAGCGTTGAGCCGTTTGTGTAGCGTACATTATTATCATTATTTTAGATTTAAATTGTCAGTTCAGCCTATTTCATTCATTTTATGTCTCCCTTAAAGCCTTTATTTATTTATTTATTTATTTATTTATTTATTTATTTATTATCTGATAACCATTATAAAGCACCTGTTTACTTATCTATGAGACATAAACGTAACCAGTTGAAGAGTGACAGAGGAATTAATTAGGTTGTTATCAAATTTTCTAGTTAATTCCTCTGCCACTCTTCAAATGATTTTATCCAACATACTGATAATGGAGGACGTCGCTGGCTGGCCATATCACCATTGACCTTCATCAATTTATTAATTTGGTACCTTTTGAAGTGAGCAATCCTCGATATCACAACCTTTTAACTTCATATACAGTATATGGTTTAACCCCGTTCTACTGAGCATAACTGTGAAGTGCGAATTCAGTTTATATACAGGCTTCTGTATTGGTGATCTGTATTGTAGTTATCACTAAGGTTGGGAAGGATACACGTAAAGTTATAATGAATCGGTGGAAATTACTGCGATTCTGTTTCTTACTACTCTTCGTCATCCCAACTGAAAGCAGTAAGTAATAGTGCTCTGTGCGTTAAAGGCATTCCTGACGAGAGTTGTCGCGTCATGTTTTGATTTAAATGAGCATGTAAGTTTTTTTCTCTTAAACTTATTTGAAGCATGCCCGTAAAATATTTCCAGTGTAAGGCACCTTGTAGATGTTTTTTTTTTTTCGTATCGAAACGCTGGCAGTATAATTTCATGCTATTTGATATCCCTGGCTTTTGTTTCAAAGTTTACATGATCCGAATAAATTTTTTTTTCAGAAATTATTATCATCATCATAATCTTGTTCTTATTTATTGGCTTACACGCTCAATATTATTATCGTGTGTTGTTGTTGCTTTATAAATACAAAGCGAGCATAGTCTCTAGTCTCTACGTTGGTGTACAACTTACAGACGGTGCGTCTATAAAGATACATGAACCACTGTCGTAGGCTACATAGGCGGTCCAAGAATCCCATTTTTCAAAAACATGATGGGTGGATTAAAAGATTGTATCCCGACCAACGTACAAGTATGACTCGCTGAAGTGCGTCTAAAGGTCATATTTGATATGTTATAGCAGATTATTTTTCGATGGGATTGTGGGAAGGAAAGAAACGGAGGGGGGGGGCAACATAGGACCTCTTCTATCTTCATACCTAATATTCGCCAATGTATAGAATACAATTTCTCTTTCTTTAGGTTTCGGTCCGAAGGCTGATATTGCCTTTATTGTCGACGCCTCTGGTAGCGTGGGGGCTGACAACTGGAAAAAACAACTGAGCTTCGTCAAAAACATTGTTCAACGTTTCGACATTGGTCCAAACGCCACTCATTTTGGAGCGTTATCATTTTCCACGGGTTACAGATATGGATTTCATCTGCAAGAACACGAAGATAAACCTTCAGTCTTAGCAGCCATCGATAAAATGAACTATCAAGGAGGCTCTACCGCAACCCACAGGGCACTCCATATATTAAGGATGGGGATGTTCAACCCAAGAAACCGAAGAGGACCACGTGCTGGAGTACCGCGTGTAGGGATTCTCATTACAGACGGACTGCCGGACGACATAGCAGCCACAATACAAGAAGCAGCATTTGTCAAACGATCAGGTAGGACTGACAAATGTACATTTTCTTTTTAACCCATAAGCCGAGATAGCCTCATAACGAGGCAGTCAGACCTGTGCAACGTCACAGGAGAAGGGAAAAGTGCGAGAGTTCTCGTGAGATGGGGTTTACTTTTAACGATATAGCTGGGAGTCTGTGCGCCGGGTATGTTGTTCTGTGTGACGTCAAAGGAGACTAGGAAAGCACTAAAACCCGCGTAACGCATCAATGTGTTCGGAACCAATTTTAGACAGCTCGCACCGGACAGCTTTGATCCTTGTTATAGCTGTTCAAAATTTGTAATTTACAGTCAGGAGTGAATTTAACCAATCCCCATATCCCCTGCTGCAGTGAGTGGAAACTTCAGAAACTTTTGAGAATTAACAACTTAGAACACAAACTATCGTGGGTATATCTTTCGATATTTCGTCATGCAACTAAACGCTAATTCAAAAGCACGAAACTGAGACCACAAATTGTGCCTTAAATAAGAATCTTCCCTCTTCCCTTTAATTACAACCCGTCCACATCACACAAACTTTTTTTTATGTAAGCACAAAATCTGCCATGCCTTGGTGCATCATCCAAATTACATACGTCATGAAATGAAGGGCCAAATCGGAAAAGAATCGACAGAACACATCCATAAAAATTTGAAAGTCAGCTCAAAAGTGGAACCAAAGCCATCATAACGCCATTATGGTGGGAGGATGTGAGATTGGGTATTGCACCTAACTGCTGTGACAGGAAAGGTAGTCCGCTAGGAACCCCAGTCCTGTCCTCATCACTTTGTACAGGTGACGTTCGTCCCATACACTCGGGTCTAGCTGCTCATACCTATAACCAATACCCGGTACTTATTCCCGGTAATCCAGTCATAGATTCCAAAAATTCTTCGTTTCAATTTCACTTTTCACAGTGACACGTATTTGCGACCTACCTATTTATTGACCGTACTGTAGTTCATTACTGTAGATTACAGTAGAGATTGTTCAGGGGCGGATCCAGAGTTATGTTTTGACAGTCTTCCCATTTATCTTTGTTGATCCGTCCTCCATTTTTGACCGTCTTCCGACAGAAAAAATTAGATACCCGTCAATGTAAACTTGAAAATCCGGAAGACCCAGAAGACGCCCTAAATCCGCCCCTGTTGTTTGCAACAAATTCTCTCAATTTTTTCTTTTCGATTTGTACGATTTATTTGAATATTTAAATATGCATAGAAACATCACAGCAGTGACTGGGCAAATACCTACTTAGAATTAAGTAAAAATAAATACATAAACGCGGAGAGCCGTTATCAAGAACTCTTGATTAATAACTTAATAACTGATTATTAGTATTATTAAGAACACATTTGAAATGGGTCACAGCTAGTAATAGCATCGCCGTTACTTTTGAGAATTTTTTTTAAATAACCCCGCCGAGGAGTTAGCGTTTTTTCCCTTAAAAGGCTTTAAAAATCAAAGCCCACAGTTTATTGCTGTAACATTCATACTTTTTCTGCTTCTACGTTTAGACACACACACACACACACACACCAAGAAGAGAATATTGCTTATGAAAATTATGTTTATTCCCTCACGAGTACTTACAACAAACAATAAGTTAACTAAGGACTTTGGTACATTTTCAAACTCGCACAGTATACCTGTAAAATAACTTGTATATTATACGATTACACGATATTGTCAAAGCTTCAACGCTAGAGGCTTCTGGCAAAAGTTTGAAAGTATTCACATATAACACTCGAAACTAATACGTTTTTATTCATTTTCTGTGAAAGATAATTCTAAATTGCGGTGAGTTATATGAAATCTGTAGACTTGTGTATAAAACGGTGCTACTAGTGCACTGAGGATTATACTTAACTATATGAAAAAATGATAACAAAATGCTAATATGACCAATATTAATAATAAATTAAACATAATTAGCAAATTAATTTACGCTATATGGAATAAAAAAAAGAAACCCCACAGTGAAAGTTGGTCTTGCTATTTAGACGAAAAATTAAGCCGTTTTTATTTCATTCAGAGTGATTTTACGGTAGTCCACTAAAATAAAATGAGAGTTGGATTTCCCAGTTACCGTTTCTTTCTTTTTATACAACAGATACCAAACATAATTTTTCTGGTATACCTAACGTTGGTCAAACAGACTCAGTTTTATTCTAAATGAAATGTTTATATTAACTGTCGGTCTAAAATGCTTCTGCAAAACAATCCCCAATACCGTTCCACTAGAAGACTTTCATCTCCGACCGAAGGAGGTAATTTTGAGTTTCTCTCGGGAAAATTTCACCGTATCTAACCACAGCATATTGTGCAGACTTAGTCAGTGACCTTCTGTGGTATTTGGTTTTTATAGTCACATCCTCAACACGCGATTGAAAGCTGCAATTATATTTCACAGAAACCTCTTACCGGTCAAAAAGAGCTTTGAACATGCGATATCTTCTCTAATGTGACCTGATCATACTATCGGTTCCATTATATGATCACGATCTACATATACTGATTATTTAATTATACTGTTTACAAACACGAAATGGAAGTTCTGTTGTCATTCTGGGACATAATCCAGTGTCTAACGTCCAAGAGTGACAAAAAGTCCTAAAATTACCCTCTACCAGTTGATTTTTTCACTTAATATACACAGACAACATCTCTGGTTAAATATGTAAAACTTTCTTACTGCGGAAAATGTAAAAATGTGCCGATAATATCTGCTGCCCTTGTAGAGGTATACTAACATAAGTGCTGGACGAAAGCTCTTATAGATTTAGATGGCTTACGAGTCATGGGAAAAGAGTGAAAAGTTAAAAATAGTTAAATGGCGTAATTTTCGCACACAGTATGGATTTCAACACATTTACAGCAATGAATACACCATGTAACGCTGCAGGAGAAATGCATGCGTAGATGGGTTCCATGGGTTGGGGGGGGGGAGGCAGTGATCAGAATTCACCGAAACTGAAATCAGCCAATCACAAATTGCAGTACGTAGGACTGTTCATATCTAATTGATGATGTGAGTCAGCCGCATTTAAAATCACCGAGTTCAATGTTTCCCTTCACGGAGAACGAGGAATAAAAAACCGCATGCACGAGTAACGACTTTGCGGTTATTCACGGATCACGCTAAATAATATAAACGTTTCACGCATCGCGGAAAATAAAAAAAAATGGGTTTCACGAATAACAAATTAAAATAACCATTGGGACCCTCATACAAGTGATAATGTGATCTTAATTAATGGAGAGAAATTAACGATTACACATTAAGCTGTCCCAAGGATTAATTTCCTTTGCATTTTCTGTTTTTTTATTATTATTCATTTACTCGTACATTGGTCATTTAAAGACATAGATTCACTTAAGTCCAAAAATGTTTATAGCCCATTGATAAAAGAATTAAATCGATAAACCAAGGAATTGTAGAAACTTCTTGGGTAAACTATTCGAAACCAAAATAATCACTATATTGGATCAAAAAGACACGTTTTATAAGTATTATACCTAGTAGTTATAATTTAATGGCATGTTAAAACAAATAGATGACACTTCTTCATATATTTCATTATTTCTATGAGTCTCATTGAAGTGAAACTTCTGACCTAGGTTGAGCACTAAGGGTGCATTCCCAGAGATATAGATCGATCCAGAGATTAAGATTTAGATCGACCTAACTCCCTGGGGGTTCACGCTAAATTGCAGTCGGTCGAGCGCGCACCATAGTTAATTACCCCCTTACAGCTTTTAGTAGGCGGGGCAGACGCTTAAGCCGGCTAAGCTGACGGTAATCTAGTGAGACTCCCCACAGGGAAAGATCGATTTAAAATCTATGGGAATGAGGTCTAAGTAGACTAAAAGCGCATTCAGAACAGTGACCCTACAGATCTACAGATCAAATATGGCGACCCACTAAAAAGCGATGTCGCTTTATTCAGGATTAGACACTGAATAGATTTTTTGTGGGATTAAGCAACAAGCAACGAGTGGGTTGGTCATATTTGATCCGCAGTTCTCTTAGTCCGCTGTTCTGAATGGGGCCTAAAATAAGACATTTGCCGACTAAATATGGTTGACTCCACTTAAGAAGCGATGCCACTATTTCCCTGAAGGCCTCCACACGCGCCTCCACACGTGCAGGGGGTCTAGCAATTAAACCTCGTGGCCGAGATTTAATCTGTTAAATGGCGCATGTGGAAGCGGGAAGACCATCAGGAAATTAGGGACATCGCTTTTAAATTGGGTCGGCCATATTTTGTCTGCTGATCATATGTTCTGAATGCGTTCTTTGAGGCGTGCTGGCTAAGATCTGGACCTAAGTTCGCGTGCTGGTTGTGCTAGGAAAAAATAACATCTTGAACTGTGACCTAAATTCCGAACCACTGATCAGAAACACCAGTAAGTTGAACACATGATACAGCAACTCGGAAAGTCTGCCAATATAAAAGGTGTAGGCGACAAACCAAGGCAAATCTTCAGTAGATTTATATGCCATTATGACCATGCTAATAACAGATGTCGTGCACATGAATAGAAAACAAACAGACGAAGCCAAAAGAGAAACAGTACTAATTATTTCTTTCGTCTTTTTTTCGTCACCTCTTCCAGACGTGAGTCCTTTTCGAGCTTTTCTTTGAGCCCAGATAAAGTGTATTATCTTTATGTTCATCCCGGTTATGGTGAGTAACATCATGGCTCTTCCGGAGATACGAATTGCTGTTACAATGCCTAGGCGACTTTGCCACTGATGGTAGTTCTGAACAGATATCGCACAGGGAGCATCGGTGTACATCAAGCTTGCAAACGCCACGGTCCCGGATGCTAATGCTGTGGTAAAGACAATCTGTGAAAATAAAAAAAGGTGCCAGTTTTCCTATAACGGTTTATAATCTAAGAGAAGTGACGCTTTGTGTCAAATAAGAGTATGGTTTCTTATTTAGGTTAGATGGCTTAAGTGTATGTAATTGGCGGGTCGTAGGAGGCAGTTTG